CTTTTAAAAAGGAGGAGATGGGATGTCTTAAAATCCAAATTTGTCTCCCATCCCACACAGACGCAGTGTTCTCATTTTCATTAGTGTCATCTATTTACATGAGGAATGCCTGGCGAGGAAATTGAGGTTACCAAGAGAAAATAAAGTTACTCGCATCAGACATGAATCCCTGCGGTGTGTGCTGCCGTGTGCCCTATTCCAGACCTTGCCCCACATTTGAAGTAGGGCACACTGCAATTAAAACACACGGCAAACAGAAAATGCCATTGACCCTTCAACGCAAGCCTAACGTGGGAAGTGGCCGTGCTGAAATATTAATTAATTTACTCAAGGTCACTCTGGAAGCTAATGGCTGAGCAGGGAGCTGTGCTGGGTGTCTGAGGTCTTTCCCCCCTCAAGTGTCCTCATTCCACCTCTAACTTGGTGCTGGTGGTGTAAAAGGCACCAGGTCGGAGCCTTGCAGTCTCCATTAACACCCCTGCCAGCATGCCCACCAACAAATCATTTCTACTTGTGAACAGCAACTTCAGGGCTACCAGGACTTAGCAGCAGAGGCAGAGCACACTGCTGTGTTTTCAGTCACAGGCACAGAGATACAAAGGACTCAGGTGTCCTGCCAAGCTGGTGGCACACCTCAGGCTTAGAGTGTTAGAAAATGTGTTAAAAGCATTAGAAATCAGCTTGAAATCAGCTTCTATCAAGCCTTGTCAGGCTCCAAACGAAAGCAGCAGTGTCTCTTTCCGTGTTTGTTGTCTCTTGGTACATTTAGCATGCTCCTGCAGCCATAGACAGGTTTGCTATCAGTGCTCAGCCCTGCATCAAACGAAAGCAGCAGTGTCTCTTTCCGTGTTCGTTGTCTCAGTACATTTAGCATGCTCCTGCAGCCATAGACAGGTTTGCTATCAGTGCTCAGCCCTGCATCTTTGGAGAAGTCCCAGGAGGAGCTCCATTCAAAAGGTCTTCTCTGCTGGCCAAGGAGAAAGGTGAAAATCCCCAGCGAAATCCCAAGGAAAGCCCTTTGGGTCTGTGCGTGTTCTGGAGGGACACCTGGTGGCAATGTCCACAGAGCCCAAGCTGAGCTCAGGGACACACTCATCCTCAAGTAGTGGTGATCCTGCTCTGGCAGGGGTTGGACTGGATGAGCTTTCGAGGTCCCTTCCAACTCCTGATATGCTGTGATTCTGTAATGAGGTGGAACCCAAAGCAAAAGCATGCTATAAAATCAAACCTGCATGTGTCCCACACCCTGATCCCAACTCCACCACCCTGACCAGCATTTCACAGCCCTGAACCAGGGCAGGTCATGGAGGTGAGCGCACCTTGTAGATGCTCAGCAAGAAAACAGTATCAAAGACCCACAGTCTAGTATATCTGAAAGGCCTGCACTTGTTCAACCATAACCAGTTTTTAACTGCCCTCCCACCAGCTCTCTGATTTTAGGACAAGCAAAGAAACCCCAAATTCCCCATAGGTGTAAGCTAAATCAAAGTAAGGTGAAAAAGGAGCATTCACAGAGGCTGGGTTGCCTCAAAATCCTATCCTGTTCCAGGCAGGAAAAATCTATGCATGAAGCTGCCTATTACATGCTGTGGCATGCACACTCATGAGGAAGGACATTTGCAGAAATCCTGGCAATGAGTGCTGAGGAAGCACGTGCCTATAAGGTATTTTAACTCCTGCCAACTCTCTGGGAAGGTGGCAGATTCAGGCCAGCTTCTCCTTCCTTTGGACAGGATCGGCTGGCAGCTGTTTAAATAACAGCTACTCAGGTGAGAAGTGAATACAAGGAGGGCCTCAGGACTAAGCTAAAGCTCCAGACTGGTGCTTTGGGGTTTGTTTTCTCATCACAGAGGGATGCTCTGTTTGCTGCATTTACTCCTTGCTAGCACTCTCCTATATGCATGGCTTAAAGGAGAACATGCATCAGAGTTGGCAGATGACTCCCTAGCCAACACTGCAGCTGTAATTCAGTGTCACATCTTCTCCGTCACTATCACCAGTTTCAAGAACTGCCATACTTTCCAATCCTGACCATCATTTCTTCATCCCATTGCTGCAGTCCACTGATCCCTTCTCTGTCCCATGCAGCTGTGTGCAGGACAAGTACATTCACGTGAGATCAGGGAAAGGGGTGGACAGGATGCGTAGTGTGAACAAGTGTGGAGCAGCAACAAGAATGGCCACAGGAGCCAGCTGCTGGAGATGATGTCCATTTGCAGGAGCCTCAGTGATTCCTGGTGGCTTTGGAGAAGATGTAAAGGATAGACTTAGTAGACCTTGTAAAAAAACAACTCTGTGGTTTGGGAGCAACCAGGTCACTGCACTTTCTTGGGGTAAAGTGGTCAGAGAGCATTTTTGCTGTGAGGTAGTCAGAAAAGCAGGAAAAGGCTGACAGAGCAGCACAGCTTCTTTCACTACTTAGATTGACCATGACAGCTTTCCCTTCTGTGGTACCCTGTATCCCTCTGTCCCACTTGCTGGGCTTCTTCCCACGCATAGACCCAAGGCAGGAGACCCATGGGGAGAGCAGATGTGGCACCACGCACCCTTCCCTCTTTTCCTGCATGCACCCCAGCTCCCTTCCCTGACCAGCAGCTTGGGAGTGCCCCTCGCTGTCCCTCCCACAGCAACCACAAGAAGATAGGCTTGTAAAGAGCTTGTTCACAAATGTATGAACAACACAAACGCAGACCTAGTGCCATTCCCTGCTGCTCCCACTTTGTCCCTGCTCCTCTCACCCCACTCATCACTCTTCCTTCTTTCGTGGCAACACGCACCTGCCAGACAACAGCCTGCTCCTGTCCCCGCTGAAGGTGGCCAGGGTGCAGGGAAAACATAGTTGTCTTCTCTAAGTCAGCCCACGTTGCTCACCCCTCAGGGCTGGGGTTTGGTGGCTTCTCTGTCTGCAAAGCAACTTGTGCCTCACAACCAAGAGCAGGAAAGCAACACCGAGGGAGACCACATCTGGCCATATTGAGCACCGAGAGGCCACTTCACAGGGGTAAACAAATGGAATAGTGATTTCAGTAGTAGCAGCAGCAGATAGGAAATAGTCACTTCTTTCTTACACAAGGGACAGGGGAAAAAAAAAGGGCAAGATGCTAGCAGTGGTAAAGCCAGAACTACCACTTGAGCTTCTTCAACCCCTTGAGCTGTGCTTGTTTACTGAGAAGGGAAGGGATTTGCACAGAAGCAAAAGAGGGAAGAACCCAGTGCCCAGGCAGGTGTTTGTCCTGCTCAGCAAACCAAAAGGATGCAAACCACTTGCAGTTTCAGACGACAGCAAAAGGAAAAGTCAAATAAACCATGGTGTCCTTAGGGAGAAGCTGCATCACCAGCACCTTCAGTAGGCTGCTGTCCTCTTCCTCAAATGATCACCTAAAGGAGTGACCGGACAGAGCCCTGGTTGCCCATAGCCTGTCCATGTCAGCAGAGGCCTTCCAGAGCCATCACAGCATGGTCACTGCTCTAGCAGACCCAGCTTCTTCCCACCTCCAGCCCCTTCCACTTACTGCCCTGCCCTTGCTCTGCTTTATATTCATGTCACTGCACTTCAACATAGATGTGTCTTCAGTTTTCCATCTTTTTTGTTAAAACAGTCACACTCGTGAGTACAAGGAGAGCTTCAATTTTTAGCAATCCAAAATACTACCAGTGTTTCTTGTAAGTCTTTGGGGAGTGTTTGTCAATTAAAATGTGACATGCTACTAAAAATATACACTAAGGGAACATTTTGGGAAGTTTTACCTGAGTCATGCACCACTTCACCAAAAGATCCTTTTTTTATATAAATCTGGAAACCGACTAAACGAGTTCCTACAAGGATATTCATTTTCTAGGTGCCAGTCTCTTTAATGTGAAATCTGTTAAATGCGACCACATGTTCCATGTTCAAAGAAAAGGGGAAAATAAGAGAAGCCAATATCCCTGAGAAGGCATTAAAGAAAGCTTTGAAGTAAACCACAAATAAACTAAGGTTAATATGTACTTCTTTAAAACACAAGGAGCTCTGACAGTCAGTGTGTTATGAAAACCCCTTGGCTGTGACTGTTGCGACAGAGGAAAGCCTGCTACAGAGGCTTCAAGAAGGGTGAAAATGCATAACGCTTCCATTCCATTTTCAAAGCAAAGCAGAGATCTGAGGATGTCCTCTGCTGGTGAGGAAGATATTTTCCATTTGGATGCTCCCAGATCACTCCTTTGCTATTCAAGCAAAGCATTTATAAGGAATCCCTGGACAAGTACCAATTAGGCAAGCAAAAGCTGGCAGGGTAAATTCTAATAGGATTATATTCAATACCTTCGTGAAATCCCAAGCAATTTTTTTCCCCAATTGCTCTTCACTGCAGCTTTCCAGTAAGAAATGCAGGAAGTAATGAAGATAAAAATATCGTACAAGAAACGCAGGTTGTGACAGGCTGGCCTTGATCCCTGCAGCCCTTCCTATCTGTAACTACAGCCCTTTACTGCCACTTCACTTACTTGCCAGGAAATGCAGGAAAGCAAACTAAAGGTGTCACAGTAGCACAGAGGGTTTCTTCTGGGGGGTGATTCAAAGGGCTGCAATGCTCTAACTGGTGGGTTAGGGTAGACTTTTTCTCTCTCACCAAGTGCATGTCACAGCCTTCTGCCAGCCTTCTCCAGCCGCTCCTCACCTACCCAGCCCTCTTCCAAGAGCTTCCCTCATCACTCTTTGTCTGTGGCTTTCCTTTATGCCAGGTTTAATTTCCTCCAGAAATGGTGCTGACCTCCAGGAATCAAATTTTCAGCAGCATTAAGGCATACAACTTGAATGCATACCCTACACACCTGACTTGCCAGTCTTTGTTAAAGGAATTAATATCGTTAATATGTCTAATTATTCCCAACACTCTGTTTGAAGCTGGAAGCTCAGAGACTACGAGAAAATCTGTAACACCCCATCATGAGAACTGTAATTCCTGATATACTGATAAACAGCCTCTACAACGCAGACTTATTTTCTTCTCTTTTTTTTGCAGAACAAAGGAAAAAATACTCCAACTCCAATGTCATTATGCATGAGACTTCACAGTACCACGTACAGGTGAGCATGCAATGAAATGCTAAGGGGCTGAAAGACCAACGTCAGTGCTAGATGCTGGAATTGCAATGTGTTTCGTTTATCCTGGACCTTCATTAGTGCAAAGAGGAGTTGGGGGCCTTCTTACAATAAGCAAGTGTCACTCTGCGTCCCCTGGGAGAGGCAAACAGCAAACCTCATGCTTCTTTTCATGTTTCTTGCTCCCTGATGCCCACAGATAAACTTGCCTCCTGAGCTTCCCAGCCAACTGGGTCTGTTATTTCTAGCTCCTGGCCTGTAGGGGACAGACACTTTCAGACTTAGCTGTGTGCTGTAATTTACCCCCTGCAGCTGTGGGTCTCCATGGTCCTGCCAGCCTGGACCCAGCGGCTGAGAACACACAAGTCCTCTCCAACACATGTAACACTGAAGCTGGGGTCATCTGGGTTTCTCATCTGATTCCTTTGAACACAAAAGGGTGGGAAAGTAAAGACCTTATGTGGGTGGAGCACAGGGATTTCTTCATGACAGACACTTTGAGGAGATAAAGGACCATGAGAATTGTCCTGAGACAATTCCTCTCCCAAGACCGACCCCACTCCTTCCTATGGGTCAGAGGTTTCAGACTGGACTAGATCCCTTTCCTTTTTCTCCTCTCCTCTCATATATTGCCTGCTCCGTCTAAAATCAACCCTAGCTCTCCTGCGATCTTTTATTTTTTTGCTGCTCCTCTCCGACTCCTTGCTTTGGAGAGCAGCAGTTGTTCCATTATGGTATGATATTATTTGAAGGTTCAGACTAATAGACTTCACTATAGCTCACAGATCCTCCCACAAGGGTACAAACAGCTTTCCATGGCACAACTCTGAATCACGCTCAGTTCCTACAACAAAGCCTGGTCCAGACTTCAGTGGCTTCTCCCACATTGCATGGTCATCCCTGACCATTCAGCTGTCCCTCCATTCGATCCTGCACATTTCTTTGAACTGAAATATGGGAGAGACACCCACATTAGGCAGACTGATTTGGAGATGGGGAGAGAAACAGAGACCAGTCACTGCTTTGGCATGTCCAGTGTGAGCTGACCTGCACCAACAGCTTGGAAGTTCCTGGCTTGTCCCCTTTCCCTTGCTGGACTGCATCTAGGACCAGTGTCTGGGGACATTTTGAGGTCACCAGCTCTGTCCTCTTGCTATGAGGTGTGACATGTGCTTGGGAGGTCACTGTCTCAGGGACTTGCTGTGGAGCCAGCACTAATCACTTGTTCAGATGGATGCTTTTCTGTCATTGCAGTCTGCAGGTGGGAAATAGTTGATGAGAAGGGAGCACAAAAATGGTCATTAAAGGATGTGAAGTTGGCTTAATTACATATGGGCCTCTTTTCTACTTTAAATTTAAATTGAAAATGGCACACAGAACCATCATTTATTAAAAATGTATTTCCTTTCTGAATAATCAAAATTCAGCAAATTGAAGTGTTGAGTAACTGGGGAGTGGAGAACGAGGGGGGGAAAAATGATGTTAAGAGACACAGGAAATTCTGTGCAAGGAAACAGGAAATGGAGAAGCTGTTGTCCTCTCTCCCTCCACTGCATTTGAAGGAGAGCAGTGGGAGCTGTTGTCTCTCTCATCACCCCATGCTTCAAATCCTTCTTGATCAGACAGGTTAAAAACAGGGTTCCTGTGGTGGTTACAGGAACTCATCAGCCCAAACAACAGAGACCACATCAAATATCAGCTTTCAGCTCTCCTTTAGCTACTGTGTCCACTCAAGTGATTTAAAACCCTTCAACCATGACAGGCATTAAGCCAAATTTCTATCTCAGTGTCACAGACATCCACTTAAAAAAAGAAGAGCCAGCCTGGCGGTCCTGGGCCAGGCAGTTCCTGGAATACAACACAGCAGTGCAGGCCACCACGGGAACAAAGGTGCCCGTCTAAGTCCAGCTGGACCCTTCATCACTGAAAACTGGGCAAGGCGAGAGTGGAAAACACTTTACAAGCTTCACATTTAGTAGATAGAGCCCTCTCTTCTCTGCTTTAAGACCCCAATCCAGCAGAGAGCTGAAGTACACAGTTAGAAATAAAGGAGCCTGTTCAGTTGCTTAAAATGAAATTTAGGCTTTTAAAAATGCTTGTTTGGAAAGAGACTCTGGTTTCCATCAGAGAAACTAATTTTCTGACAGCCTGGCTGTGCTGTCACATCAGTGGCCCTGCCAACCATCCCCATCACTGACTCCTACCAAATAAAGTCACTCATGGAAGCAGAGAAGGGACTTTAAACAGTGACACATACATAAATTCTTCATTATTAATGCCACATGCCACCCATTCGTGAGTCTCCACCTTGAACTTTGACCAAGGCAAACAGGATTTCAGTGGCAGGCAGTAAGGTAGGAAGAGGTTTCCTCACAAGAGGCATTTTACACCCTTCGAAGTAACCTGTAAGCTAACCAAAGTTTAATAGTGGATGGAGTCATTGTCCTTTCTCACAAAAGCTACTATATCTGAATACCCCTCTAAATCAAAAGGGGTTTTAATGAGATCGATGACAGTAGCAAGCTTCTCTCCCTCTCACTCCATTAGTATCTAAAGAAAATGAAAACGAAAAGAAAAGTTACCCAAGTAGCTTTCCCATCCATGAAAATTGACTGACTTAACTGTAAACAACAAAGGAATTTATGAAGATTGTAAAACCTGCAGATAAAATAACAGAACAGATAAGAACACCTGTCAGCAGATATAAACCAATTCTCTTCACTGCTCAGAAAGCAGAGGATTTGTCACCCTGCACAGATAATGTTGACTTTGTGAATACCTTTTTGTGCACTATTTTACAATGACCATAACATGTACCTGAGCATGTTTTTCGTATCTGATTGTATGGCTAATCTCAGCTTTCAGCTGAAATACCTGCCAGGAGTTTTATTTAGACAGTGCCTCACCCAATACCTTTGCTCTATGAACACAGGACTGGATCTTACACTCTGCAGTGTTTATTCTCTTCTGTGCTCTTTCCAGTCTTTCCAAATTATCCCACAACTGCCTTAACAAATTGGTCACCACAAATCCTCTCCACCTGTAATTCCCACCACTGACCATCATGTTTAAAGGCTCAGCCCTTTCTGCCTGTCAGGGCCACCAGTGCTTTAAATCTGAGCCTTTCCCCCTGCATCCACTTTGTCTGAAGCCAACAGTAACAGTGGTTCTTGCCTGTGCTTCAACGTGGCCGTGCAAGGCTCTGTGCTCCGAGTGCATGGATCCTCCTCAGGTCTGTCTGGTCTGTACTAGACACCAACCTTCACAGCCTCTTCAAGGTCCCTTTGTAACCTGTTTCCACTGAAGGACAATGCTGCTTTCCTCCCTGGTGCTGGAGCAGGGTCAGCTTTTGCTGCCTCTTAGTCTGCTTCCTGCTTTGCATCTCCCTGGGCTTTTACAGGTAATAAAGGGGCTTCCTTCCACGCAAGTGTCTCATTCTCCTCCATTGCCCTCTGAGGCACACGCTGATTGCAGGCACTACCCATTGGATATTTAATCAGCTCGTGAGCTGAGCCTGCTACTGAGGACAGATAGATTAACCTTCTCAGCCCCTAGCCCTTTCCCTTCTCTTCCTGTGTTTTGTAACTCTTCTTGCTAGTCTTCTGGGACAGAAACTGTCCTTTTGTGCCATGCTGGACCCTGACCCCTGGTACAGCATCACTGTAGCAAAGAGTCAGCACCAGAAAGAAACTGGTTGAATCCTAAAAGGCTTACAGGTGATCACTGGGAGAAGGCACAAAGACAAGGGATCAGAGGGAGAAAAGCTAGGCAAAACTCGACCCTGAACTAGAGGCAACAAAAAGCCTTTCCAAATTTCATATCCCAATTTGTGGCTTGCTTTAAATGCCCCCCATTTTTCCAACTCTTGCTTTGAAACCAGGCTGCAGGATTTGTGCATCCAAGGCAAGCAAGAGTTTTCACTGCCACCACCCACACAAACACTGTCAGGCAGGGCTGTCTCAGGGGTTGCCCCAGCGTTGCCCCCAGCCCCACAGCCAACACGTGTAATGCCCCTGCTCATCCCGCAGTACCTGGGTCTCCCTGCCAGAAAGGTTAATCTGCTCCGGGGCTCTTCTGCTGACCCACAGCTGATTCAGCAGCAACGTGTTATTTACTCTAATGCTACAGAGTAGAGGAAGCGGGGTGACGGGGTCAGGCTGGTGGATGGGCCTTTGATATTGCAGGGAAGAGAGGAAGAGCTGGGACCTGGCCTGATGAGCCTCCCGACAGCAGGCATTTGGACTGGCTGCAGCACCAAAGTCTTGGTCAGGCCTGTAGCTTGACCATCCAAAAACCTCGTGCCTTTCTCTCCTGGAGAAAGCTGGTTACAACAAGGGAAAGCTTCAGCCACTTTCCCAGTCAGGCATGTTCTTTTTCCCGTCTCCTCACCATTAACACAGCAGGGCAGCAGAGGGAGCAAGGTGAAATGAGACCATTTCCTTTTCCTTCCTCTATTTTTTTCCTTTTCCTTGTTGTCACCTGAACATGTGGCCTGGCTCTGTCTGTGTCACTCACACAGGGACAACTGCAAAGAAAACACCCTGACTTGAGCTCCCAACTTCTCCAGCCTGGTGGTCCCCTTCTCCCCATCCACAGGGAGCAGAGTTTGCTCTCACTGGCTGCTGATCAGAGTGGAGTTAAAGAAATTACCTAGATTTCTGGAGTGGCCTTCACCCACTGCTCAGAAGGAGGGCACACACACCATGCAGGTGCAACATGCTTCTCCTTTCTGCAGCTGCCTCCTGCCCTGTGTAGCATTCCCCTTGCAGAGAGCCCCAGGAGCAGACCAAAACCTGCAGGTACAGCTCCATTACACAAACTCTTTGTAAACACGAGTGCCAAGGGCAAGGCTTGGATTGCCGCACACTTCAGGACACAGAGCAGGGATGGGAAAGCAGACGAGTGCGGTCACATCTGGGACGTCACCTTACCTGAGCTCCTCCCAGCCCAAGTGTGTACACAGGGTAGTGCAAGAGGGGAGGACAGCATGGAAACCAGGCTGGCAGCGGGCAGAGCACCAGGCTGGGTTTATAGGACAGGAGGGAGGAAGGAAAACCAGGGTAACAAACAAAGCCACAGTGCAGAACAGAGACACAAAAGCAAGTAGCAAAAAACCCCTTCTTACAGTCAGTTACACCAATTTTCAATATCTTGAGGGCTGATTTGGAAAATTTTGTGGGAAAGGCAACATGAGGGGACTGAAGGGCCGGTGCAGAGCCAGATGCCAGGTTTGGGGCTGTCTTGCAGAGCGGGTAGCCTCCAGCACAGAAGCTCTCTGGTGCAGCTGTGCTGCCTGTCGAACTACCCAGGGCAGGGGACCCAGCCAAAGCGCACGCACTGGATGGATCCCATCTCAGCACAGAGGACTAACACTGGCACATGGCTTGTGTGAGCTCTTTGCCTGGGATAAATTCCACACAGGGAGATCTGCTACATGAGACAAGCAAAATACAAGTGCTGTTAGCTTTGCAAGTGAAGCTTAACTACTGTATTTAAACTTCCAAGCCAGTTTCAGAAAAGTCAGGGGAGTAACTCATGTGTACAAAGCGTTTGCAAACACGCGCTGCTGGACAGGGGCCAGAGCTGCTAGAACTGACATATGATGAGATAAACATGCAAGTGGTGAAACTCGTTACGAAAACCCTGGCTGCATTACAAAACCCTGATCTTTCACCACTACAGACAGGCTGGTAGTAACAACCAGAACGCACGCTTGCTGCAGCGACTCTTTCATTCCTGTGCTCTAAAGAGCAGACAAACAGTAGTTCAAGCCTTTAGAGATGGTTTCACTGCTGATTGATGATACACACACCATCAAAGCTTTCTCATACTGTTTTCTGCTACTTTCCTCCCAACTTCAGCACTTGGCCACCTTCATCATGGATAAGAGCGAGTCCATTGTGACGGTGGACGATGCTATCCGAAAACTCATCTTGCTCAATTCAAAAGAGAAGATCTGGACACAGGAGATGCTGCTGCAAGTGAATGACAAGTCCATTCGTCTGCTGGACTGCGAGTCGCAGGTACCCAGAACTCTGCCAGAGCTACCCACAGGTTGACGTGTGGGGTGCAGTGTGCGCCATTCCCGTTTTGCCTGGGAGGACCATTTCTAAGGAACCCAAACAAGGTCGAATTACTACCAAAAATCCACTCCTGGGTGTGCAGGGGCTGGCTGACTTTAATTCAAAAGGCAGTTAAGTGTGAGATGATTTATTCACGGCTCCAGAGCACAGGTACTCCAGGTGAAAGACACCTTGAGCTGTGCTCCAGGCCATCAGTAAAACTGCTTTGTGTGGGAGTGATGCAGGCTTGCAGGTCCACAGAGATCTGCATAAAGCATGAGCAGAGAGGGAAGGACATATTACTTGCATTAAAATAACACACAGGATTACTTGCCTGAGAACAGTGCCCCAGTTTGACAGGCAATACATGTACATGCACACGGGGCACCTAATCTGAGGAGAAAGAGCAGCCAAAACAGTGGGAAAGGGATGGTGCTGCCCTGATTTTAGCAATGAGAAACTAAAGAATATTAGCCCGAGGTCATCCAAGGAGACAGTGGGAGAGTAAGCCCCTCACAGAAAGCATCTTTTCTCCCAGTGCTCTGCTGGAATGCACAACAAGTGTACTGGTGCAAGTAAAGCACGTCAATAAGATAATGGTGAACAACAAAACTCCAGTTATGAAAGTCTCACACTGGGCCCCATATTCAGGACTCAAAGGAGAGCAAGAGCTCACCTTTGTTTGCCATCCATCTCTCTCCCAGTACCAAGCCGCTGCCCCTCTGCAAGCCTTGACATGTAGCTTTGAAGATCCCAGCAAACCACTGCTGAGAAGCACAAGCTCTGCCAGGTCTCTCTCCTCACGCAGGACCATTCTCTGTCAGTTCCCCATTGCTTGACCCCTTCCTCTTTCTCTTCCAGGAGGAGCTGGAGGACTTCCCTCTGCCGACAGTCCAGCACTGCCAAACAGTGCTGAATCAGATGCGCTATTCCTCCATCCTCCTCCTGGTGTGTCAGGATTCAGAACAGCACAAGCCCGACATCCACTTCTTCAACTGTGACGAGGTGGAGGTGAGCACAGCCCTCCTTGCTGGTGTGAAACAGAGACCAAGTTACACTCCTAGCGTGCTGCCAGCCCCTTATTCCTTTGCCCACTCAAAGCCCTCAATCCTTTCTAAAGCAAAGCCCTTAAAAACATCCCTGTTTTATCTTTGAGGCGGAGATGGTTCATGAGGACATAGAAAGTGCCCTGGCAGACCACAAGCATGGGAAGAAGATTCGGCCACAGACACTCAAGTAAGTACTGCAGGATACAGCGAGCAGTGGGGGAAAAAAAATAAAGTCCCATTAACAACCATGCATTTGCACACCGGTCTCCCAGAAACAGAACTGGCAGCCACTGATGGAGTTGTTCTGTGTGGTTTCCCCTGCAGAGCAAACCAAGAAAAGATCAGGCAGAGACAATCCATCCTCCCACCACCACCGGGGCCGGCTCCCATTCCAATCCAGCACGACATGCGAGGCTCAGGGATAAACAGGAACCGGGTGGCACCTCCTTCTCAGCAGAATCCAGGTACTGGGAGCGCTCGGCGAGTCTGTCCTGGGGATGGAGGAGCTGTCAGCCCAGACAGCCAACCCTCCTGAAATGGCCTGCAGTCATTCCAGGCCCTGTACTGCACAGGGCACAGGGAAGCCCAGTGTCTTCTCACTGCATTATAAAGTAACACAGATACTGTGTTAAGTATCAAAGGCACGATATTTTGTTGCATCTCTAGCTGTGCTTTATAAATGCCTAAAAATTGGGCTGCAGCAAACATTTGTACCCACCGGGCTAGCGGTAGGCATCTTGTCAATAACTCCTCAATAAATCAAAGCTCCTAGAAACATCTTGTAATTACACCTGTGTTTTGGGGATGGTGAAATTCTCACAAGAGGTGAAAGCCCCTCATAAAGCTGAGCCATCATGTGAAACCTGGATCAGGCACCGGTGATGTTAAAACATACAGACAAGACAGACCTGGTCAGAAAGGCAGATTCCTACCTCTGCTGACTTGACAGAAGCCAAGATTTCACTCTCAGAAATCAAGTGGTTTGCATGAATTCTCCTAGAGCCGACTGTGGAAATGCAGATCTAAATGTGCTCATGCAAAATCTTATCCCAAAACCATCCTGACTTCAGCCCCTTTGAGTTGGCTTGAAAAAAACTGAATTCCTCTTTGGAGAAAGAAGTAACAATTAAGTTCCCAGTAGCAGAAATAAGCTCTTTCTCTGACCAAAGCTCAAATTGACTAAAATGACGAGCAAACTGTAAGCCATTCTTATCACTGCCTATTGTACCACCTTCCTTTAGGATTAATTTCTAGGTTCAAGGAAAACATGTAATCGGGATATTGCAAGAAACTCCAAACACCAGCTGAGGAGAGAAAATACTCCATTCCCTGGGATGGGACCAGAAGCCAAGCAGCTGCTCTGGTGTCCTGAACGGAGAGCCTATTGCAGGTCCAGCTCCGCATAGTGAAAATAAGACTTGTATTTCAGGGCTGGACCATGTATAAACATCTATATTCTGATGCACAGCAGTTTTTAATGAAATGGCCACTCTTAACTCTGCCCTTCCCAGGATGCTTTCAGCTCCCATGAAGCTTTAAGTCTGTAGCTTACATCAGCAGAGCTGGGCATTTACCCAGGCTGGATTTCTGGCTCTGAGAACACAGAGCCTGGCGTGAAAGCAGGTGTCAGAAGAAAGCCTTGAATGACGTCTGTTTGCTGAGATCGCTCCTCCTTTGAAACGTGCCTTACTGCTTTTTCTACAAAACCTGTCAAAACTAAATCACCTCATCTTAACGCTTAAAGATGATGTACATTTTTCATCATCCTTTGCCAAAACTGCCTCCCCAATTCTCCCACTTCATATATCCTGCTGTGCTGGCCTTTTCAAACCCCATTGCACTGAGCTGACACATTATTCTTTTCACAAGAGGCCACCCGAGCAATTGTTCACACTGAAATGTCAGCCTCTCACTGAATGTCTGTCTTCTGGAAGCTGGGAGGTGCCTACGTTGTTTTTTATTGCAGGAGGATTATTTTTTTTTAATACCCATTAAAAACTCTCGAGAGACTGCACACAGGTTTGAACAAAAATGCTGATTTATGCGTGGTCTCGCCTAAATATCAGTCATGCAGAATTCCTGGCATGCTGCTTTCTATCAAGTCACAGTTGCATGCACTTCCAGGTCTTATTTCTTCTTTCTCAACTACTGTTTAGTTAGACTGGTACTTCTGGGACAAGGAAGGCTCCTGTGGAGAACTAGAGGTTAGAAGTGAGAGTGGGAGTTAATCTCATTGCACTTTACATACGTGTGGAGTGCTCTGCAATGTGTGTGGTGGCTTTTCAGCTCCTCTGCAGGCATAAGTCAGCTTAGACGCATCAAAAGAAAAGGAGACAGTGACTCACAGAAGCTGGAGACCAGGGCTTGCAGGTCTCTGCCCATAGCTGACAGCTGGCTGCTCTTCGTGATTCATTCACTGCTGCATTTGAATACAGGCAGCGTATCGACACAGAGGGTTGGCGGGCAGGTGCGGTGACCTTGGAAGATTTAATCGGCAGCTTTGATCGACTCCTGCTCTTTGTGATCTCCTGAGGTGCTCTCATAACCCACAATAAACAACCAAGCTGGGAGTTATCTTCCTACGGGTCCCTGCATTTAATGGAGCCTATATTCAACCTCTGGCAGTAAATATATTTTTCTCTCCCTCCCTTATTTGCAGACTATGAACGACGAAGCTCCAGCTCTCATGACCACGAAGAGTCCCGAGCCATCTTAGCACAGAAGATTGAAAAAGAAACGGTTGGTAACAAGAACAGCACATGGTCAATAGGCAGGAGGAGAGGGAAAAGAGAAGAAGGGAGCAAGGGGCTCCTCTGTGATCAGACTGTGAGATATCACAGTTTAACAATGACTAGATTACACACAAAATTGTTAAGCTGGTATCTACTATTCTTAAACAGAAGGTGAACAAAAGCAAAGCTCCATCACTGGGTCAGTTACAATCTCCTTTGACCCGAGGTAGCTCTGCTGATTGCAGAAGGTCTGCTCCTCCCCAGCCCACACGCTGGTCTTGGGGTTATTTTCCAGACGTCCATTAGCAGGGTTCACTTGTCCCATTGACACGTACAGCACACAGCTAGGCACAACTTTGTGTTTGGAAAGTGATGAATTCAGCTGAATTTCATGCCTGGATTCCCCATTCCTGTGCATTCTTCCAGGAAACGAAACAGGCACAGAGCAGCACACTCTGGGATTTGGGCTTCCCAGCTGCATGCAGTTTGGGCTCCGTTTCACCTTAGTTTGTTGCATTTCTGTCCTCACAGCAAATCCTCAACTGCACTCTGGATGACATTGAAGTGTTTGTCGCCAGGCTTCAGAAGGCTGCAGAGGCATTCAAACAGCTCAACCAAAGGAAGAAAGGGAAGAAGAACAAGAAGAAAGGGCCAGCAGGTACAGTGCAGCAGCTGGAACAAACGGGGAACGTGGGGCATGGATGAAGGTTGGGAGGAGACCTCAGTTCACGCCCCAGCAAAGCCAGGTTAATGCAGCAGCACGGGTACGGACCCAACAGCAGCTACACCAGTCTGGAATGTGCTGCTGGTCTGTGGGGATCTCTTGTACAGCACGCAGGGCCTAGTTCACTGTGCCCACACCACAGAGAAAGACTTTTGGCTTTTCTCAAACTCCTGATTTTCAGTAATTCCAGTCTCAGCACCCATTATTGCTGGGTCTTCTGCAAGGCAGCAAGATGCAACTTTTGTGAAAAGGGATGCTCTAATTAAAATGTCTTTCTCTCTACCTTCTCATAAAAGAGGGCATGCTGACTCTTCGAGCAAGACCCCCAAGCGAGGCCGAGTTCATTGACTGCTTCCAGAAAACCAAACTGGCTTTTAACCTCTTGGTAAGACACAGAGGGTGTTTCTGTCCTATGCAGTGGCAGAGTTTTTTCCCGTATCTCACAGTAGTAAGCATTTAAAGTGAAATTTGACCTGCAAACACCATCAAGGGACAAAGGTGTGAATTCCAGATTCTTCAGAATCCAGAACAAACATTGTGCCAGGCTGGTGCAGGTGCCTTGGGTGAACTTGTTAAACTGAAACCAGAAGTGTAAAGTCCAGGATGGGAGTGAGCAGCCAGGGGCCTTGCAATGCCTGGAGCTCTTACCAGATACAGTCTCGACTTAAAGCTTTTGTGAAGCTGTGAGCTGAGAGCATCGAGAACTGCTGTGTCCACCTCGCAGATAGCTGTGCAAAGGCTTTGGCATGGTTTATACAGTTGCTCTATCACCCAGTGTCTCCTCCCCACCAGGATTGGGGTGAGGAGGCAGGAAAGGGAAAGGAGATTCATGGGTTGAAATAGAAATAGATTTACTATAATAACAACAACCAATATTAATAACAGCATTAATATAAAGTACACAGAGTTATTATATTCAGCCAGTATTGTGGGGGTGTAGGATTCAGGGGGTAGGACAGTAGACAAGATACAGTTGCTCTATCACCCAGTGTCTCCTCCCCACCAGGATTGGGGTGAGGAGGCAGGAAAGGGAAAGGAGATTCATGGGTTGAAATAGAAATAGATTTACTATAATAACAACAACCAATATTAATAACAGCATTAATATAAAGTACACAGAGTTATATTCAGCCAGTATTGTGGGGGTGTAGGCTTCAGGGGTAGGACAGTAGACAAGTCTCTCTTGAGATGTCAGCCATGGAAGAGGGAAGAAGGAGATGGAAGGTGCAAACTCCCCAATTTACAGTGAATGTGACATTTATGGTGTGAAATAGCACTAATTGGTCAGCCTGGGGTCAGCTTGGGGCCAACTTCCCTGGGTTTCCGCTTACCCCCCGCTTCTGCACATGTTTATCTCAAGACTGATGAAGGCTTTGAGTATCACGTACCAGCATCAGCTGAAACTTTAACAAAGTCTTATCACTTTTTTCCCATGAAATGTGGTGTAGTCCTTACAAAAGTTGCAGTTTTCCTCAACAGGAAACTGACTCTCAAATTCTGTCCCAGTAAACCAGGACAGGTTTATATAGACCATCCCCACTCTAGATACTGGCTTCTGCTTGTGGCCTTTCAAAGTCTGTGTAGTTTTGTGAGAGCTGTAGTCCTTATTATCCTTGCAAAGCGTAAACAGAAGACTGCAAATATTGGAGGGAGGGGGAGGAAGCCTTATCCACTTTAAATTGTTCTCATCCGATTCTGTCTACAGAGCAGCTATAAAGCTGCCTCAGCCAGAGCCTGGAAAGTCTCTGGGTAACAATAACCGATGTCCTCACTGCCCTGAGGTTCCTGGCTCCTCTCTTTCTCCCCTGGAGGAGCTGCTGTCTTAAGAATGAGATGAAAAGCAGAAGCAGAGAGATGTTCCCAGTGCTGCCAGCTCCACTTAGTGAAGTATGTGAGACCAAAAGGGTAGTGAACCAGAAATTCTGTCAGTTCTGACCAACCTTGCCCAGCCTAACGAGATCCTTCCTGAAAAGTTATTAGTAAGGAAACCACAGAGATTGTAAACAGCCTTAATGCAGGACATCAAGCTCCAGCCTTTCCATTTAGAAGCAAATATGCATAATTTTTGCCTGCTCAGGACCAGAACTGCTCCCCTGACAGCAGCGTGGGAGCTAACACAGCTAACCCGAGCTCTCTCTGCACTCAGGCCCTGGACTTTGCTGCCTGTGTATCTGCAAAGCCACAAAACCACAGCCAAAGCAGCTGATCTCCCAGGAAGCAAGGAGGAGAGCAGGGAATCAGTGATGGAGCGCTGCCATGTCTGTCCCAGCGCTGCTGTCACCTGCTACATGGCTGCGAGGTCCCATGTGAAGTGCCATTTCATTTAGTCACCTTGTTGCCATCAGTTGTTTCACACTTTCCACTCCACATTAATGTTTAATCACCAGCATTTAAAACGCTTTGCATTGGGGTAGAGAGGAGGGAGTCTTTTTCCACTGCAGCAATGCCAGTAGCACAGGACACAAGAAGGAGCTGAAAGAAAGCACAAACTGAAGTGGTTTCTCACCACAGCTTAACAGTTCTTACGGTAAAGTAATCCTAAGCATTTGCCCCTCCATCCCACCACAGTCTACTCCAAATACCAAGCATTTCAGTGGCCAGGGTAGCTCTAGGTGCTGCAGGCAACACCTTGGTGGAGATTTTTTCCTTGCCAGCAATTTGCTAAGGGACCCCTCAAAACTCTCATTCTGTGGGAACCAGTGGGATTTTCAACATTGCAAGAGTCAGAAGTAACAGTCTCTTCCTCACTCGGACTTTCAAAATAAGCCAAGGCTTTTGATTCTGCTCAAAATAGCTTCACAGGGACTGAATGTAACCCCTCCTGAAATTCAACACCCTTAGAAATGGACACAAAATGGAAATGATCTAAAACCGAGAGATTCCCACTCCCCAATCGCTTGCTCTTCTTCCCTGATTTCAAATGCACTGTTGAAAGTTTCTTTACTTTTCAGGCTACATTATTAACTGTAACAAGTGCCAGTGAGCAACAATCTCTCCATGCAACAGAAAGGAGAAGGCAAAATCAGGTTGGGATTGAACTAGGTTTCCTTTCTCTTTTCAGGCCAAACTGAGAAAGCACATCCAGAACCCCAGCGCTTCAGAGTTGGTGCATTTCCTATTTGGACCACTGGAACTGGTAAACCCAATTCACAGGTTTTCACTGTGAACTCACTTTTTATTTCTGACGTTGCTTTCACGCTTACAGGCAGCTGGATTATGCAGAAGAGACAGAAGACTGCTCACAACTGGCTAAAGCTTTCTCAGTAAAGTCTAGAAACCACACCACTAACATTTCTGGTCTCTGATCTGATTTCCAGCTTGAACTAAACACAAAAACCCTAGCAAACACAAATCTTACTGTGAACAAAAGTGCAAGCCAGCCATGGTTCCCATTGGGCTTCTGCCTGATCTCACCTTCAAGCAAAAGTGGCTCAATATTTGCACTGAAAATAGGAAGCAAAAATTCCAACTCGAGAAAGAAGGCAGCAGGGACACAGAAATACCGAGTGATTTTTCATTTTTTAAAGTGCCAGCTTGCGATACCTCCTGTCTCTAACAGCAGCTATTTTTTAGATCAGACCTTGCTTTGACTCCAATAGAAAAAATCTTGGGTTCCTCTGAACTGTCCAGTCTTCTTCAAAGATGTTTCTGGAGACAGCTGAGCTGATCTAAGGATTGGCTGCTGTCCACAAGAGTCAGGCTATCCCTTGGCATGAAGGCTGGCCCGCTGGCTTTCATTTTATACCTTGGAGAACTCGGTCAGGAACTAGATGTCTTATTTGACTATTTACTTTTTCTTAAAAAAATCAGCCAATCAAGTACTCTCTGTGCAGTGCCAGGACAGTAAGGGGGTGCTGAGGGAGTATGCCATCCCTTTTAGGTAGCAGCAAACCATTAATTTAGCTCTTCTGCGTTGTGAAACCTCACCCTTACATGTAAAGGCATAGAGAAGTTTGGAAGTGCAAGCCTAATGTAAATAAGGTACTCACTGTGGAGGGTGCATTGGCTTCCTTTGGAGTGGGCAGGCATAGAGACTCCAAAGGATCACAGCCACTGATTTTTCTGCCTTTAATTTCTATTCCTTTGTGTGTGTGTGTGTGCTGCTTTGATATTTAGAACATCTCCTGAAAAACCTCTCACATTTGTGCGTGTTTGTGTTCAAATCAGATCATCAGTAGCTGTGGTGGCTCTGACCTTGCCAGGTCTGTTGTCAGCCCGCTTCTTTCTAAAGATGCCACAGATTTCCTCAGAGGACACCTGACACCAAAAGAAATAAACCTCTGGGAGTCCCTGGGAGAGGCATGGACCAAATCCAGGTGAGGATCCAGCTGCCATCTCACCAGGTTTCCCAAGCTCTTGAGAAAGGCAGAGGGGATGTTTGATTTTATAGCCGTGTCAGAGGGGCAAGGATGTCCTTGCTTCTCCCTGACACGCTTTCAGAGATGTGTTTCTTGTGAATCTCACCACATACTCTCTGTTTCACATCCTAGAGCTGAATGGCCCCGAGAAGCAAACATCCCCACCTACATCCCCAAATTCCGCAATGGCTGGGAGCCACCCATGGAAATCTTCCGCGGAGCTCCGTGGGAAATAGACATCGGACACTTGCAAGAAGAGGTCTGTCCTGCGCTGCCAGTCATCCTCCTTTCTTTTCCCTCTCCCTCCACTTTTTTTCAGGGGGAGAGATGGATCTGTGGAATTTGAAGTGGTGTGTAACAAGTAGTAGGCTCAAAACTCAGTTGGATCTGAAAACTCCAGTTAAGTACAGAAAGAAAAGAAGGCCAGAAAAGGGCAGCAATGATCAGCCTCACCTCCTGATCAACAGAAAACAGGGTACTATACCTGAGCCCCATGGATACAGGTTTGCCTGAAGGATATTTCTTTGGTGTGCACCTCATCGTGACCAATAGCTTCCAGGCCCTCATTCATCTACCACTATCACTCTCCTTTCCTCTGATACAACTTTCCCCTTTCCTGGTAACACTGACTCCATTTTTGCCTTCTCAGCTATCATCAGCCAATGGATATCCTTACCGCAACTCACTCAAGCGCAGCCAGACCCCTGAGCAGACACAAGCTGTGGATGCCTTTAAACAGAACGTAACTCAGCATGTAAATAGGTAACGTATCAGCACCACCCTCAGCTCCCACCTCGTGACCTCGTAAACACCCACTACAACATATCATGACACCAGGATGTTTTGGCATCCTGGCAGATAACTCCTACCGTTATTAATTCAGACTCATAATTAAGAGCAAGAGAACTCAAAGATCAGACGAAGGATTATTCATGCAAACGCCGTCTGCTTTTTAATCACTAGCAGGTCTCAAGGAAATGGGTTATGTGTTTTCCACCCCAAGAGGCAAAAATATCGACTGACTCATTAGTCAAGCAGTAGGTCTTGTTTCATAACATCGGCCCACCAAAGTGACATTAAGGATCACGTGCCAAAGATACTGTGCTGCACTTTTGTTCTCCATATGGAACCTGCTTGCAGGAGGAATCTCCACAAGCAAGCTTTCCACTGTTAAAAAACGCAGTGCTGGGAAAGAGCAGCTTGGGCTCAGCAGCACTGCACAGAAAATCCTTTAACTGAGAACGTACCCTTTTGATTCGCTGGAGGCAGCAGCTCCTCCTTTTGCTTTTAGACACAACCAAAGGGAAAAACACTTATTAGAGGCTGAATAACACGAGAATGGGTTTCTGAACTTGCTCGTCTCTCCATCAGGAAGCCGACAGTTGATTTCAGACAACTCTTCTTAATGGGATAAATCAAAAAATGGGAAAAAACTCCACCCTTTTCTTCAGAAGTCTTGGTAAATTCAGTTGCCAACCCAGAACCAACTAGGCCACCCCTCTGCCTCAGGCCTTTTTCCAAAGGAAAGATGGCTCTTTCACTGTTTAACCAAACACGCTGCCCCACTGCTAGTTTTCTGTCACCAGTTACTCAGCGGTATAAAATCTTTACGGAAGTAATTTTGGTTCAAAGTTTAGAGACTTTTCATCTGCTTGTTTGTTTACACGAGCTTATCCCTTTGAAGTTTTCCTGAGATCTCTTCGTTTCAACTAACTTGCAAATGAATTTTCTGCCATTCGTCGCTTTGTAGTGATTTGACATGAAATTATCCACTGGAAATTATCAAAGACTGAAAGCCCAGACCCAGCAAGGCACTGAACTGCAGCACTTCTCTGTAGCCAGCTCTAGACAGGGAAAAAAACGCCTTCAAGCCAGGCTGGTTTTTTATGGTTTTATGTTCTAATCTAAAAAAATTATAAGCTCTACTACTAAAAAAGTTCAAATTCATAGCAAAAGCCAATTATATCAGCAAAATAACTTATGTACCCCATCAAAGGTCCTGGTGGGACCATAAAATGGTACAGATGCAGCGTAGAGCTAGAAAGAATTACAGTAACAAATTATCTTCTCCAATTCCGTTTTCCTCAGGTTATGAAAAATCAGGAGAATTTCGTTTACGTGAGAACACTGAAGTCCATCTTTAGTGACTGGTAGACAGTGTACGTAAGGAAACATTTTCACCTGTTAGTCTCAGCACAGGCAAACTCCAAATAGCAGTATTGGAGGATAGAACAAGGGGAAACGGCACCAAGCTGTGCCAAGGGAGGTTCAGGTTAGAGATAAGGAGGAAGTTCTTTACTGAGAGGGTCGTCAGAAGCTGGAACAGGCTGCCCAGGGAGGTGGTGGAGTCACCATCCCTGGATGTGTTTAAAGTGCGGGTAGATGAGGTACTTAAGGATATGGTTTAGGGGGTAGACAGGAACGGTTGGACATGATGATCTCAGAGGGCTTTTCCAACCGAGCGATTCTGTGTGTGATTCTGTGTGTGTGAGTCCTGGGATACACATTAACAGCGTGCCTTTTTACCAAGGTGACCGTTTCCCTGAGACACCACCCAGACTAAATACAGTGTGAACATAGGTGAGGATCTCTTTTCTCCTGAGATAGGTGCTGTGCCTTTTTACCTACCTTTCAGACTGTCAACAGCAAGTTTTCTTTATGGATAACATTTAAGAAAAAAGGAAGAAATCAAAGTTAATGACACTGAAGCAGATGGTAGGATTGAGAATGTGCTTAGACTCCTTCAGTCCAGAGCAGAACTCAGCCAAGTCTGCCCAGAAGTTTGCCATGATCACAGTCCTGGAACAGACGTATTTCCTGCTATACTCATGCTTTTTTTCAGAGTAGTTTGAACTAGTTTCCTAACCAAGAGACCCTATATTAACAAAAATACCCATTGCTATTTACACCAAGGCTTTTAGCTGCAGAGAACTGTCATGAAAGCCACAAGCAGTATTACAGTAATCAGAGAAGGTCGCTTGTGTAAAACCTAGGTGCACACAAAGTACACGTTAACCTCAGACTCCTCTTTCCTGGTGACTCATTTACCTTCTGGAATGCTACAGAAGAAGTAATTTCTACCTCACTTGGGCTTTGCTCCCCCTCCCTGCCTTCAGGGCAGTGCTGGGTAAGGCCACCACTCCCTTTCTTGAGTGATGGATTCAATCTGAGAGTCTGCTCCAAGCCTTCCCCCACTGCAGACTCACAACTTATATAGCGCGCATGGCTGTAAGCAGATCAAGAGTTATCGCAAATCAAGCGAGCTAAAGACAACGCTGCAGTCATAGGCATGATAGCAAATCACTGAACCAGTGGTTTCAACCTTTTTCAGACCACTGAAAGCTGTCTGATGAAGACAGTAAAATGAACTGAAACTAAGCACGATAGGCTTGCTTTTCAAAGTCAGGTTTAACAGCTGCCTCAGAAGCAGCCTGCAAAGATCATAGAGTTAAAAATCACTGACCAAACCCAAGAACTCAGCAATGGAAAAACATCAGGCTAAAACCCAGAGGTGCTAGCAGTGCTGAAGCACTGGTTTCACCAAGTTACACGGAACTTGACATAAACTGGAGGAGAACCTGACCCCGTGCTGGCATGCCCACTGGGAATACGGCACGTGGGAGCCTCCTGCAATCAGGCAGCTGTGCAGGTTGCAAGTCATAAGCGGAAAGATCCACAGAAAGTGCATGAAAATAGGTCCTACCTACCCTTACACAACAAGGCAGGGCAGCTTTCCCATACTGCAGACACTTTTGGACTTAAAAAAATAACACTACATCCATCTTAACTAGAGAAGAAACAGATGACATCTGCAAAATTTTCCTAAGTCAGGCGAAAAAGAAAACTATGAAAAAATAAACCATTTTAGCTTGGGTCAAAGAAAACCTTTCATTGCACTTTTTTCACCATTTTCCATTTTCAACAATCGACCATATTTATTTTGTTTCTCTCTCCAAATGAAAAGCCGGTTCAGTGTAGAAAGCCTTATACTCTTCCATTTTCAACAATCGACCATATTTATTTTGTCTCTCTCTCTCCAAATGAAAAGCCGGTTCAGCGTAGAAAGCCTTATACTCTCGTGTCAGAAATACCCAAGCAAAATACTTAAACGCATTCCTCTTCTTCCCCCAAAATGCATTTTAAAATAAAAACGTTCAAACTCACTTCTCCTGGGAGCCCACAGAGTTCTGTTTCAGTCATTCGGCATTCATTGCCTGATGAAAACAAACCCACAGGTTTCCAGTCAGTTCTACCCACACTCATTTCCAATACCCTTTCCCCTACTGCTGCCACCAGCTTCTCCCTTACTCTGGCATATGGGGCTGTTGTTTCCACTTATCAGGACATCAGGATTTCACACTTCTTTTTCACAGGAGGTGCAATCAGAGCATTTTGTTTGTGCTTTGTCAGTCTCCCCAGTCCTTGCAAAGCAGCAGCTGACAGGGGAAGAAGTCTTTTCTTCCACCCTGAAAGCAGCAGCCCCACAATCCCCCAGTGAGGACACTCACCAAACAGCTCCGCAGCTTTTTGTTTATTTGTTTGCTTCCAAACACAGGATGCTTCACTAAAATAAGGGGTGAAAATCTTCCTCAGAATAGAGCAGCAAAGAGGCATGGCTCCCTCCTACCACAAACACAGCTGGCTGTCTACCTGCACTGGCACACAGACATCACCACTCCTCTTTTACCAGTGAACCTGTATCGCCCTAGTTATTAGATGGGCCTCTGTTAAAACTGCGTATTTTGTTTTTCTCCTGCAGGAATTTTGAGGCACAGGGAATGGCTCTGCCCAAGAGATATGCCAAAATCCGCTATGATTTCACTGCACGAAATGCCAACGAACTCTCAGTGCTTAAGGATGAAATCTTGGAGGTACGTGAAGCCATTCAGTGAAAAAGGTGTGCCCTCCTCCCCTTCCCAGGAACAGGAGAGATCTCAAGATACTGGCAAGTGCCAACTCATGTTTGCTTGGTGTTTTCTGAGCAGTAACACAAGGCTTTGCTCAAATCTAAAGCTTTCTGTCTGAGCTAGAGCAGGCTGACTGTATGCACTGGTCATTTGCTCAGCTGAAACACATCAGTCGCATCTTAATTAGCAATAAGAAGGAAGGAAAACAAGTCACTGTAGTACACACTGCTCACCCACTTACTGGGCATATGTTCATTATTACTGCTCCCCTCCAAAGGAATTATTTTCTATGAAAACATCCTTTTTCATAAACTTTCTCTTACCACAACACTGCTGGCAGCTGGAGAATGTAGGATGTGACTTGGTCTACACGCTCACTGTAACCAATCTGTGACTTGAGAGAAAGACTTCTGTTCAACAACACAATGAGAAATGTGTGTGGGTCTCCAGCAGTGGTCATCCATTCTGGGAAGAGTACTTTAAAAACAAACAAACAACCAAAATCACAGCTGTGGGCAAACCAAGCCTGCTGAAAGGAGCAGGGGGGTAGGTGCAATAGGAGGTATCTCAGCAACGGGCAGTCTCCTTGTCACAACATGGTTATGATGTGATTACATTATATGTTATGATGTGACACGTGATCAGGTCCTATGAGAACACCCCAGCACCTTTGGCAGGAGTCACTCTTGATTTATTTTTCTTAATGCAAAAAGACAACGCAAACTCAGTCGTTGGGAAGAAAAAAGCCCCACAAGATGGAGAAGTAGGCAAATTAAGTAGGAACAAGTTATTCAGCACCTCAGGTCTGTTTTCCCTCAGAGGTGCTCTCCCGTTCATCATTAGGATGAGTTCTGATGCTTTTCAGGAAAGATGTCAGTTCTGAACAAGCCTGATGAGGAGCGGCTGAGGGAACTGGGCTTGTTTAGCCTGGAGAAGAGAAGGCTGAGGGGAGACCTCATCACCACCTACAACTGCCTCAAGGGAGGTTGTAGAGAGGTGGGTGCTGGTCTCTTCTCCCAGGTGATGGGGGATAGAACAAGGGGAAACGGCACCAAGCTGTGCCAAGGGAGGTTCAGGTCAGAGATAAGGAGGAAGTTCTTTACTGAGAGGGTCGTCAGAAGCTGGACCAGGCTGCCCAGGGAGGTGGTGGAGTCACCATCCCTGGATGTGTTTAAAGAGCGGGTAGACGAGGTACTTAAGGATATGGTTTAGGGGGTAGACAGGAACGGTTGGACGTGATGATCTCAGAGGGCTTTTCCAACCGAGCGATTCTGTGATTCTGTGAATTGCAAATGAGCGCAATAGATCTGTTTGCCAGCTCCTGGCCTCACTGATGTTGTTCTGACAACTTCACATTACTGTGTGGTTTATTTCCACTACATGCCGTTTATGTATGCCAAAAATCTAATGTTCTTACTAGCAAATGTATTTTTTTCCCCTCTCTCAGGTGTTGGAAGATAATAAGCAGTGGTGGAAGTTGCTCAACCGGAGCGGGCAGGCTGGTTATGTCCCCTATAACATCCTGGATGTGGTGAAACTGGAAGAGCTCGAACAGGTCTGTGGTCAGGCAATATTCAACCGGTAGCAGCCTGCAGGGCATGATCAGCCTCTGAGAATAATCTGGTGATTAGACCTCCCTGGATTTCTTAGGATGTTGTGCACAAGTCGGGATGAATGCTTATAAGTAACCCAGGATCCTGGAGATTCCCGAGTCTCTGATGATAAAACTCTCCCATTTTTCCACCATTTACCTTCTCCCTCCACAAATGAGGCCCATCCTTCCCATTGGTGCAGCAGCCTCATGCTGTCCTCCCGCTCCGAGATGCCAAGCATATTGCCTTGGGAGGCAAGGTTATGGGACAGGTGATGGCTAGGTCCTGTGCCACGGACAACAGACTACTGTGAAGTGAGATCCTTGCTGGAAGGGACACCCAGCACAAGCCTAGCACCGTGACTTGTCATCCCAACAGGAAAGGTCTTGTGTTGAGGTGTCACCAAACAGATGCTGGCTACAGTGGCTTGAAAGAGTTCCTCCTTTGGCCAGTGCCTTCCCTTCAACCCCACATTTAGCACCTTCTCTTTTGGAAAACCCTGCCTTTTTCAGGGCTGGGCTGTCAACAGGATGAAAGAGCTAAGACAGCCATTAAAGCAAATTTTGCCACCAAAATGCTGAGATTTTTGTCAGGGGTTAAATTAAAGAGAGAGAGTTCTCCCATCCAGGTCAGTTCAGCAGCAGGAACAAGTTACAGGAGTGGAGGTGGATGGAAATACCATCTCAGTGAGTAGTAAATGAATACTGCTCTCAAGCATCTTGCATTGTAAAAATGTGGAGCTGGAGAACAATAAATGCCCTAAGGAAGCACGGAATTGCTTCCCCACTTTGGTATTTCACAGCTTGGGCAAAGCATAAAGTCCCCCAACAGGCCTCTGGACAGAAACCCTGTTAGTTTAATCAAGAAAATGGCAAAAAACTCTTTCCAGACTGCTCCAGGCACTTGGCAGTGGTCCCACTTAGCACCCAATTACTAGAGCAGTGATGCTTTAGCTTCAGATGGGATTTCTGTTTGTTTCTTCTTCCTATAAAGATCCTTTTGCTTCTCTTGGTCTCCATCTCCACGGAACCCCTATGAGCAGTAATTTCTGCATAGCAAAAGGGCCAAGTCACGCATATGAGAGCGGTCATGTACAGCACAAAACACGCTCTCCTTGTGTGACAAGTATGACACGTTTTCCAAGAGTGAAATGCCTTCACGCAGTCTTTGGCCTTTGGTTTGGGTTCTGTTCGTTCCTATGAGACCTCAGAAATTAACTTCTTCCATGCAGCTATACCTGAGGCCCCACCAGCCTCAGCTGAGCAGCCCCAGATCAGCACATGGACAATATGGCAATTCGTCCCTCAATTTGCTATAGTGGGTGGGAGGCAAAAAGTTTAAGAAAATGAAAAATGGTTAAAAAAAAATCTTACACATTTATTTTTCTTCCTTATCATCTAGTCTAACCAGAGGTACAAAGGAGATCCAACCCCCAGGGGATATGGACCATCCAGCCCAACTCACAAGCTACCTGCCAGCTATGCTGGGGATAAATGGGGAAGTGAAATGTTATCACGCAACTCTCCCCAGGATGCCAAAGAACGTAAGTGTCCTACACCGCGCTCCCAGGATCCAGGCACCTTTTGCACCACACACAGCAGCCTCAGGCAGTCAGAGAGCACGGCACTGTAGCTTTGCATTTTGGGACTTAATTCAAAAGTTTCTGTGAGCACTTTTGTGCTCTGTCCCAGTGGTTTTCTTTCTTTCTTTACGTTTACCATAATGGTCTGCCCACCATTTTTGGTTCCTGTGTGCATGTAACCAGACCTACCCAAGTATGTTCCCTCTCATAAGGCTCTGCACAAGGAGTGGCTGTGCCTTTTAGTGACAATAGACCAGCAGTGGTTTTGGAGGAGATGTACAGAGGAGATTCCAGGTAGTACCACAGCCAACAGAGCAGCCCCGAGGAGGTTGCTGGCTCCCGTCACAGGCTCTTAGGCAGCCTGGGACAAGCAGGGCAAAAAGGTGATCACCTTAGGGCTACAAAGATGATTAAGGGAGTGGAGCATCTCCCTTATGTGGAAAGGCTGAGGGAGCTGGGGCTCTTTAGTTTGCAGAAGAGGAGACTGAGGGGAGACCTCATTCATGTTTATAAATATTTAAAGGGCGAGTGTCACGAGGATGGAGCCAGGCTCTTCTCGGTGACAAACAATGATAAGACAAGAGGTAACGGACACAAACTGGAACACAGGAGGTTCCACTGAAATTTGAGAAGAAACTTCTTCTCAGTGAGGGTGACAGAGCATGGCCCAGGCTGCCCAGAGAGGTTGTGGAGTCTCCTTCTCTGCAGACATTCAAAACCCGCCTGGACGCCTTCCTGTGTAACCTCATCTGGGTGTTCCTGCTCCGGCAGGGGGATTGGACTGGATGAGCTTTTGAGGTCCCTTCCAATCCCTGACGTTCTGTGATTCTGTGATACCCCTGCTTCCAGCTTCATCTTCCTCCTCCCAAGGAGAGTTTTCTTTCCTCACCAACTTGTTTAAGCATGTCCAAGCAACCACCCACGTTCAGGGCAATCCCTTTCTCTCGCTTCCTTTGCACTTGCCTCCTGCCACCCATGCAGTGCCCACCTGGTCTGATCCTTCAGGTGGTTTCAGAGAAACCCCAGCCAGCAAATCTGCCAAATATGAGATTCACATCACTCCCTCACTGAGGTTCATGCTCTGTTCAGCTACTGGGTACTTATGGAAGCAGGAGCCCTTCTGAGATGACAGAAAGCCCCATAATCCAAACATCATGGACACGTATCTACTAATAGCACTGTGTTATTCTCCACAGTCTTCAAGAGTTTCATGGAAAAAGTGATACTGGACATTGTGTCACTGGAGTTTTATGAGTGTGCTGCCCACTCCCAGTTCATGCTTCCTGCTGCTTCTATTTAGCTGCACAGCAAAAGCTGGAGCTCTGAGGACTTGGATCAGCAAATTACTTATTAGAAGTAGCAGTGAGGACTGAAATGTAGAGGGAGCAGAGCTACAGCTCAAAAACAAGACTCTTAATTGTACGTACTCACAGTATTAGCCTTCCACATCAGGCAACAGCGAAGAGGCAATGGGAAGAAAATAAATGGCAACACAGGGGCACAGAAAAATGGGAACCTCATTCTCAGCGACAGACAGTGAGGCCTCCCTGACCTCTGCTGTCTCACCCAACCAGGTTTTTTCCCCTCCCTCCTGCTAAGTTTGCAGGGCAATTTCCTTATTTCAATAGCCCGAAGGGAACTTAGTAACTCATAAACAGGAAGATGACAAACTAAAGCAAAAAAACACAGCAGCAACACCAGACATCAGGGAAAAGGGACCCTGCCCCTTGTCACCACTTGACAGCACCAGTGTAGGCAAAGACGCTGCCAGACCAGGTTTTAAACTCCTGAGCAAACTTCTGCTAGTCGGTGTTGCAGGGTTTTATGTCCTTTGAATGACGTGTGATGAACAGGATAGGTTAGCAACACAAAAACCAAGATCGAGCCCAGTATAAATTTGTATATAAAATAGGTGAAAATAAAGGTCCTTACCAGCACCTGCTACAGACACCAGTCACACAAAATTAATGTGTTCTTATCAAAATGTTATCCTATTATTTTGCCAAATATGATACACTTTTCCCCCAATAAGTGTTTCTGAACTAGAATTTTCCAGGCAGCTTGCTTGCTTTTCCTATTCTCTACCTTGTGCTTTGTTCCCCCAGAACTTATTCATCACATGGACGAGCTGAATGATGAGTTGCTAAAGAAGATCACAAACAATAAAATTCAGCCTCCTCAGAGGAATTTCAAAGTGGAAAAGCCTCAGGAAGCTTTTGTGCCCCTCACCTTTGAATCCAGCACTGAAGAAGTCAAAGCTTGGCTGGAGGCAAAGTCATTCAGCAAAGAGTAAGATTTGCTTTACTACCTTACGAAATGCTGGCCCTTCATTTAAAAAGGAGTGGGAGAGGCAGCTTGCAACTTCTCAACTGGATAACAAGTCACTTGTATTTACTTACAGAGCCTGTGTTGCAAATTAGGTTTCAATCACATTAAATCCAGGTTATGTAAACAGTACCTGCAGAGCCCAGATTTACTCCCTTTCTTTCTTATGCTCTATCAAATAAACCTTGTCTTACAGCAGAGCAAAAGACCTAATGAGTAGCTGCAAATAAAGGAATGGGTTTGCTTATTCACACAACTCGCAGCTAAACGCTGGACAGCTTCCTATGTTCCTGTGAGCCCCACTGGGGCTCATCTGGCCCCAATTAGCGAGTTCAGAGTGGCTGAACTTAGAGAAAAAGAACTAATTAACTAGCTGCACCCATGGCTTGAAATGCAAATTCCAGATGACTGCCTGTCTCTGGAGCAGCTGTCCTAAAGTATGTCCAAGGAAGAGCCAGACCCTCAGCCAAGACTAGCAAATCTTCCCAGCCATCATGGAAGGACCAAAAAGCTGCCCGTGTAGCACAATGATCATCTCCTCGCTTTGTGTCTTCCCAGGACAGTGGAACACCTTGGCATCCTCACTGGAGCTCAGCTCTTCTCCCTCAACAGAGAGGAGCTGAAGAAAGTGTGTGGTGATGAGGGAAACAGAGTATACAGTAAAATCACAGTGGAGAAAAACCAACTGGAGGTAAGTAGCTTTCTGAACAACTCCTACCTGAATGGGTGCCTGCACCAGAAGTGTCAGATAATCTCATTAAACACACATTCTAAGAAACTAAATTAAAAAAACAAACCAAACAAAACCACACCACTTAAAAATGCTGAGAAGCCTCTTAAGGAAAAAGGCCCCAAATCTGTAAGGCAGATCACCCTGTCTCCACTAACAAGTCTGCCTTCTTACTGGTATCACTCATCCCTTTGAAACTAGCTCTACTCTTTCAACAGTAGTTAAATATTATAATTTAACTGAAGCTTGAACTTAAAACTCAAACTTTCTCTTTTCTTTCCATTCTAGAAAAGCAGAGGGGAGTCAGAGCTCCAAGAAATCATGAAGCGTCGCCAGGAAAGGATTGATTCTGCTAATTAAAATCTATCTGCTTTATTTCAGCTATTAGTCATAGTAGTGCAGAAAAAGGGAATGAAAGCAATGATCCCCAGTCCAGACAAGAGACAGCAGTGCTCCACACTTAGTGGTGTAACTGCCATCAACGTGACAATTTCTTGAACACTGTTGATAAGAGTAGGCAATACGACCATGTCCCATTGGGGAAGGTGTTTTAATATTGCATGAAGTATTGGTTTTTTTTTATAACTATATATTTTATACTGAAATTTTATGTGCATGTGATCAGAATTCACACACATCTGAATGTACAACAATGGCTGGGTTCAAGCTAAAAAAGACCCTGCAAAGCTTTTCTCAAAGGAGAAACCTTTTCTCAAAGGGCTGTACCTGCTCCCACTCCCCTTGCCAGCGTGGCTCAGGAGGAGGGCACGGCACACAGCACAGAACAAGCCAGCCTGAATGTTTAGGGTTTGGACCATGGAAATAAGTCTTTTCCCCCACTTTTCTTTTCCTTCTCTGTGGCAGATATCCCCTGCAGCCCACTAGCAAAGGCCCTCTGGCAATTCACAGTCCTTCTGTCCCCCTATGACCCTGTGTTGGACGAGGCTACAGTTGCACCATACATTACCTAATTTCTTAAATACCTGTACCATTTAGTGTTGTCAATGAACAGTGGAAATGAGTATTCACTGCATAATAATGAGCAGAATCTGAGTGACGACTGAAGTTATTTGAACCTGCAAATAGGTGAGCTCAGCCTGACCATCCCTGCTTACGCAGAGGCTGGGGCTGCAGCCCTTCACCGTGGCACTGAGCCTGGATCGGAAAGTTGCAGTAACACCAAAGCCAGGCCTCAAACAAAAGGAAATGATAAGCTCCTACCGATTGCTTCCAACCCAGTCACACCCAAAGCGCGCCCCAGGGTGTTTCCCACTTGTCCCCACCTTCATATTTTCATTGCAAAGATTAATCTGAAATGCTTCCTAAATATCTAAGAAACAAAAGCACACTTGGAAAGGCTGGTTTACTACAAAATAAATGGCCACAAGAAAAAAATACAGCTAATTTAGTAGAGGCTGTTGTTCTTCACTTCCTGTTTTTCTTAATAATGTTACGTGCATATGTGTATATCTATATCTATCTAGTGAAATACCCCCTTATTCTTTCAATGTATAAATAGGGATGAGGGAAAAAATCCCTTTCCCTAGAGACATAATTAAATGATTATGCATCCATAATTTACTCAAAGTTTTAAAAGCTCAAGCAAGCATACAGCAGATTTCCTGTGCACAGCAAGTTTGGCACACACTATGTTTATAGCTGTGTTTTACCTACAGACCAACTCGATAGGAATACAGCAAAGCAAACACATCTACAGGAACTGCTCACAGACTGGGAAGATTTTGGTTTTCTCTCTCATTCGCACACCTTAACTTATGCTGAGTGGGAATTCAGGCCCAGACTCCTCAAAGACTTACACGTGTGCATTCCTTTACGTGCTGTGAATGATCCCACCTCCTTGAAAGGTTTAGCGTGTGCCTAAGTCTTTGCACAATTTGGGCCTGTCCTTGAACATTTAATGGCAAAAGCTGTACAGCTGTAAAGCAGTGGCTGGGGAACACATGTCTAAATCTGAGAATATTGATGCACCTCTCAATTTTGGCTTTGTTCTTCCAGAAACGTTTCTAATGGATGATGTATTTTCTTAATCTTGAAATAGGACATTGTTAGCACCAGTAGAATGAGGGTGCAGGCAGGGAACTTCCAGAGGAGCATCGTGTTTATTAGTCACAACCCTGCTGGCTTGCCACAGTGGCTGGAATTTGCAAAGGCACTCACCTTGTCAGGGAGGGATGAAGAGGACAATCCTCCTGAGAAGCCCTGGCTCTGGATTAGGGTGGAGATGGGAAGCAGGTGTGAACGCTGGCAAACAATTGGTGTTAGAAGCACAGGAAGGTAAATAATGTCTAAAATTGAAATAATAACAAAGGGTGAGCTAGGAAACACGACACCAATCTTGTCTTTGGGTATAAAGGAAAAGAAATTGCACAGAATTATAACTATTTGGGATTATAATAGAAGCATACATGACAGTTCTGTAAAGACAGGAGCCAGAAGCATTTCGTAAAATACATACATCAGACGACCTTATTGCAGAAGTCACTTTTAAAAACTTCCATGTGACTGAGCTGTGCATCTGTTATATATGTACTGCCTGCAGATAATGCTATAATGTACTGTACATTACTGTAATTGAACGAAGGATAAAATGATATAACCATGCACTGTATAAGATTTATTAAAATAGTTAAGTTATACTTATAACTCCATCTCTGTGTCTTTCACTTGGATATAAATTAAAGCAACGGACACAAAAACAGCTGTGAAGGGCTGACTTTGCACAATGACTTGTCAGTGCAAGTCTGCAGATACACAGCAGAGTACCTGAAATCACAGAATCACAGAATCACAGAA